GTTAAGCAAATCTTCAAGCCAGAACTACTGAATCACTTGCCTGGTTTCTAAATTCTACAAAAGCAGATTTCTGCACACCTCACCAAACCTGCAGGAAGCTCAGGGGTGGGGGGCGGGGGAGGGGGGTAAAAACACTGCCCAAGGACCTGCGTGATGAAGATAATAAGTATGACACAGGGTGATTACCTTTTGTTCTGAGATTGCTTCTTCCTGACCACTCTAAGGCATGTGCCCCAGGTCATGGAACCTGTTTGTGGTTACAGGAATAACAAATGGCGTATAAATGTCAAACTCAGGGATGGAGGAAACATTAATGATTGAGAAGTCCAAGATCGAAATAACTCCATATTAGATTGGTTGGCCCTGACCAGAAGCTTACCTGTGCTTGAGAAATGTGTCCTCTACTATGCAAGACTACAGAAAGGATAGCTGCTCCTCACGTCAGACCAAGTGGATAAAATGGGAAAAATTTAAAGCAGGACATTCTCCATGCTGAGGTTTAATAATCCGTGGACATACAAATCACTGTCAAGCACGACCCAGCGATTCGGAGCTGCATCCTGAGCTCCCATTAGGCTGAGGCACTTTTACATGATCCCATCAGTCAAAAGTTGAGAATTTGAACACCCTATTTCTCAAACTCTTGAAAGTAGCACAGACTAAAAGCGAACAATTTGCAAACACAAAGTAGTTATGTCTCTCATCCTTTTCTGTAATAAGGAAATTGATTTCTCTCCTCAAAATCTGCCAATTGATTTTTCTCCTTCTTTTAATCAGAGTTATCAAAAGGTAGTATAATTTCTCTACCTGAGGACTTCAATCTGAAAGAAGGAACAGCAGACTGTGGATCCCCAGGGCGTGTGTGTGTGTGTGTGTGTGTGTGTGTGTGTGTGTGTGTACTGCCTTCACCCACCCACCCCTACCCTCCCAAAACAGTAAGAAAATATTTGGCTATCAGCCTTCCAACCTCTGATTTCTGCCATGGCAATGAGTGAAGAGGACTGGCAAAGAGAATCCCCAAAGGCAAGATGTCAGTTTACAGAATTCATAGAGGTGAGCAGAATGCCAGTGGTTCAACCTTCCTATGCACCCCATGTTCTCCTGCATCCCAACGCACAAGTACTAACCACAAAATGGCAAAATCAGGTGAAGAGTAGCTGATACAAACTGGCCCCAGGTACAAAATGCTCTGTTTTCCTGTTGACTAAAAGTTAAAATTCCTGCTCTACCGAAAATTAAAGCAAAAGTCCATTTCCATTCTACTTCCTGCTTTGTGAACAACAGATAGTTAATCACAGTGTTTAGCATGCCCTGAGATAATTGTTTTAAAATTATGTCAAGCCCAGCTTCTGTGGCTCAGTGGCTGAGCATCAACCTATGAACCAGGAGGTAACAGTTCGATTTCCAGTCAGGGCATAAGCCTGGGTTGTAGGCTTGATCCTCAGTTGGAGGCATGCAGGAGGCAGCTGATCAATGATTCTCTCATCATTGATATTTCCATCTCTCTTCCCGTCTCTCTGAAATCAATAAAAATATATTTTAAAAATAAAATAAATGTATGTCAAATATCAGAGTTGTTGATAAAAATGCATAGAGGTGAGCAAAATGCAGAGACGTAGCATATGGAAAGGAAATAAATAAAACACACGAGGCTTGTATATCACTTGAGGGAGGGAGGCACTCAGTGTGAAGTTGTATAGAAAAACATTTACTTCTTATCCCAAGGAAAATGTTCCCTAGCTGACAAGGCACCTGATGTGCAATCCAAGTTAATGACCCACAGAACTGCTTCTCCTGAAAGAATAAGGATCTCACAGATTCCCCACTGAGGCACCTCAGGGAAGAGCACCAGGAGCATGAACAGCCAATGGGATGCAGAGGTGTCCTTGGAGTGTGTGGAGCAGCACTAGGCCAAGTTCAGAGCCATCATTTCTAAAGAAGCCCAGTCACTTCCTAGTGAAAAGGCAGAAGCCCAACCCTGGATCACACTACCCACACAAACTGCTCTATTCCCTGAAGAGAGGAAAGGTCTGAAGTCAAGATGTTCATGAGGAAGAGCCACGGCAAGTCCACCTGGACTGGCACCTGCCAGGAGCGTTCCTGTGCAGTGAGAGCGTCTGCATTGCAGAAGGACAGCCATGGTGGTGGCCCTGTGGAAGGCAGGAGAAACCCCACACAATGAACACTGCTTTCTTCACACTGCAGCCACAAATATGGTCTTTAGAGTTACCCTTAGCAAAGCCATGAAAGCAACACAATGCACCAGTTTTTATAATTTCAATGAAGTGTTTCTGAAAGAAAAGGAAAGGAAACTAAGTATGTATCATTTTCCACAGGAAAATTAGCAGGACATTGAGCCATGTAAATAAATTTACCGTAAACATCCAAACAGATACTATTATTATTCCACAATTCATGAACAACAGTTATTTGCATGTCATTAATTTGCTTATTTCTGGTGTCTCAGACAATGTAATATGCTTATCAAGCTTGGTTTCTAAACAATAAGTGTTTAACTCTTCCTTTTATATTTATAAGAAAATATTTATCTTGCTCTTTCCTTAACAGATTCAGAGCCATCTGCAAGCACAACACACAGAGCTGCTTCTGAGGCAATTAGACACAACCCCCAACTGGGGCATGACGTCACTCACTTCCAAGTGAAAAGGAAGTAGCCTAGGTGAATTCAGTAACACCGCCACTATCCAGATAGGCAGATATGTTGACCAGTGATACACTTTGTGCCAAAAGATCCAAACCAGGAACAGAGAAGACATCTAAGGAAGAGGCAGGGGGAAAGGGTCTATGAGCACTAAACCCAACTGCTAAATCCTGACCCTCCTTGAAAAGGACAACTCCCTACATACGACCCCTATTCCCCACAACTTTCATGGCTGCTGAATTCAGTGTCTTCAAACTTCCTCACTCTACAGACCCATAACTGTGTTCATGGAGCACATTCCTCCCTCTAAAGATACCCTGACCATGCCCCAGCTCTTCTGGGGTCTGGCCCTGGGAAAACAGCACTGTTTCCTCCACTGACTTAGTTTGTGGCTGTGAGAACTCCCCAGACCTTGTATTTACTCTGGTCAACCTACTTACTAGAAGCTTTGTTTCCACAGAATTTTGTTAGTCATTTGCCAAGTCCTGGATTAAAGATTACAAATGTCCCACCTATTGATCCCACTCAGTTCTTCTTTTCTCATTTTTTAATATATTTTCATTGACTTCAGAGAGAAAGGGAAAAGGAGAGAGAGACAGAAACATCAATGATGAGAATCTTTGATCGGCTGCCTCCTGCATGCCCCACACTGGGGATCGAGCCCGGCACCAGGACATGTCCCTGACTGGGAATCAAACTGTGACCTCCTGGGTTCATAGGTCAATGCTAAACTACTGAACCATGCCAGCCAGGCTCTTTTCTTATTTTAAGGTAAGCCTCACTCTGACAGAATATAAGAAATAAGAGTCAAAGTGATCACATTTTTTAGGAAATATTTACTGACCATATTCCTAGAGCTAAATAGTTCTAACCTTCCCATCAAATATACAATAATCTAAACAGCCTAAAAATGATGTTACTTATAAATATTTCTGGTATATATTTGCATGAGGAAGTTTGTAAAGAATACTTGGGCAGAGTTATTTGAATAAATAATAAGTACCCATTCATTCAGTAATTACTGACTGACTACTATTTCCAAGGACAGTGCTAAGTCCTGGATACATAGTGACAATATGGATATTACAAGGTTCTCATTTTCAATGAGCTTAAACTCTAGCTGAGAAGAAATTGACAAATGTCTACACATGCCCACACTTGTGAATGAGGGCACATGGAGACACACACACACACACACACACATGCACACACACACACATTATCAAATGAGCAAAGTGATATAAAGGTAAGATAAAGAATGCTATGAGAAACTACATATAGAGTATCTAAGACAAAATAAAAAGGTGGATAAAATCTGTAAGGCAGTATTAGTTTTACCAGTGATTTCACACCTCTGTATTATGATGTCTCTAGAACAATTCTAGAATTAATCTCTAGAAGAATTCTCATTTCAAAGAAAATGATTTCTCATCCTCGGGTTACTCTCCATTAATTCTATTACTTTCCCTAATGATATTTTCAAAATAAGGCTAATTGGCTCCTTTCCCTCATTTAAAAATGTAAGCATTTCTCACCATTGTTTTAGTAAGATAAAGCTTCACATACTTCTCTAAAATTCTAACTACAGAGTTTTCTACTATTAAGAATGAGATTCCTAGTTTTTTAAATTGCTCCATAAATCCCCAAGGGATTTCCCACCAATGCCCATTTCAATCAGCTCTCTCAAAGTTGAATGTCATTCTGAACTGGGTCATTTTGAAGAGCTGCAGGAGCCAGTAAAACATGTAACCTATATAACCTCCCTGTTAAGAAAATGTGGTTCTAAAATCAGGCCTATGCAGCTTGACTATAATTTCACTGGCTTCCATCTAAAGTAAGCATCATTTTACTAAGTAATGCAAGCTATAGAAAACACTAGCTCTTACATTGGGCACCCCGTTTATTATGCACTGCCAGCCATATAAGTACCCTTTTTATTATATAATTGCAAGCTATAGGGAATACAGAACTCTTATAGTAAGTACCTTTTAAGTATATAATACAAGCTACATAAATACCAATTTTACATGTAGTGCAAGATATAGGAAGCACAGAATCTCTAAGAACAAGTCTAAACATGGAAAGACTGCAGTCGCCCACAGATGAGGGTCATCTCAGGAGAGCAAATAACTGTAATGAACAAGTTAAAAAAAAAAAAAAAAAAAAAAAAAAAAAAAAAAAAGCACAGATCTTAGCTTCTGATGTGTCTTATTTTCAGTTTTGCCTACATCATTGTAATTCTCACCACCAACTTCAATAAAGAAAAGCCAAGTAAAGCACAAGGAATTTTCTTCTCCCTTGAAATCAACTCTTTTGGGACCTATCATCTCTAACACAGCAGCGGTCTCCAACCTTTTGGACCTCACGGACCACCAGAGGTCTGCAGACCACCGGTTGGTGACTGCTGCTCCAAAGGTTTGCTTAACCCAGTGATCGCCAACCTTTCGGATTACCAGTGGTTCATGGACCACCTGTTGGGGACCGCTGACCTGGAGAATATAGTTAAAATGCCGTAAACAGATTTTAACATCGTCTCATGAGCCCCACTTCCTGATGCCCACACTTTTGTATAATTCCCTCCATTTGGGTGTGAGACAAACTTGGCCTGCTTTGAACCAGTAGAATGTGACAGAGATGGTGAGATACGACTAGCTTTGAGATGACTGGTAAGGCAGCCCCAGGAAACAAATAGAGGAGGGATGGGCTGGCACCTGAGTCCTAAGGGTCCCATTCTGAACAGTACTACTACCCATTTCACACCAACATATGCTGCCTTTGTCTGCGTTGACCTTTCAAGCTGTCCTTTTCCCGATCAGACCGCAATCTCCTTAAAACACAGAGCATATACTGCAGGGCTCCCAGGACATTACTCAGTTAATACCTGAGTACTGGCTGGGTATGACTGACCCACTCTTACCTTCCTGATCTCGCTTCATCCCAACTTTGATTTATCCCTTTTAAATATGCTTCATCCAAAGCACTATCTACAGTCAGGTGGCAAATTTCTTTATTAGTGGTCTTCAGAACTTACTTCTTAACTCCTTCAATAATAAACACCAACTTGGAGAAGTGGAGATATTTTCCCGGTTCTACTGACCATGTATCACCAGATGACTGGTCTGATATTACTCATATGGAAACCAGCTGTTCTTTCCTTGAAGTCACTTCTCCACTCTGTCATCTGTCATTCTGCCTTGATGCCCTGCCACCTGAAATGAAGTGTTATCCAGACCCTGCCTCTTCTCTGCATGGCAATGGTTGACATTCCTGAATTCACTTATACTCGGAAGGTCCTATTGAACCCCTTTATCACTTTTAAACACAGTCAAGGATGACCTTTTGCTCAACACTGAAAATACCTGTCATCCTTACAATATTACCCCATAAATGTCCTTTGTTCTCCATCTAAGTTCTCAAGCTCCCATAAATGAAGGATTTTTCTAACCCTCTAATCTACATAAGAGTTGGTTATAAAATAGCTGGCCAACCAGTGACAATGGTCTCCCAGTGCAGAGTGCATGCACCAGCACTGGCTTCCCACTTCATCTTATATCTAGCAATATGCACAACAATCAGAAAGTAGGTTAAAGCTCATGATTAGATGTAACGATTCAAAGCAAGGTTAAGGAAAATGTAGATCCCAGAGTGGTGGCTACAGCAGAACCTCGGGAGGTGGGTCATGCATATTTAGAGAAGTTTTTACCAAAGATTTATTGTCGTCCCTTAGAGACTGGGGCCCTCATCCTTACTCCAAGAGACTCAAAGCACACACCTATTTTTTCTCCAGCACTTCATCAAACTGCGTACATTTTTGACATTCTTCTTAGTAATTTCTAATACAATATTTTCCATGAATACTGACTTTCCTTCAATGTTATAATAGTCCCTATTTATCTGTAGCCTCACTTTCCACAGTTTTAGTTACTTGCAGCCACGTTGGTAACCAGTTTTATGGTTCTCCAACGAAGAGTTAAGTTTCCATGTAATCCGGCAGTTCCACTCCTAGTTAAATAACCAAGAAATTAGATCATGTGTCCATACAAAACTTGTACATAAATGTTCATGGCAGCATTCTTCATAATAACCAGAAAGTGGAAACAATCCAATGCCCATCAATGAATGAATAGATAAATAAAGTGTGTTCTAATATTTCATACAATGGAATATTATTTGGCAATAAAAATAAATGAAGAACTGATACATGCTCTACCATGGATGAACCTTAAGCAAATGACCCATCTGAACAAGGCCAATCACAGAGGACCATACATTGCATGGTTTCATTCATGAAATGTCCAGAACAGGCAAGTTACAGAGACAGGAAGTACATTAGTAGTTGTACGGGGGAGGATGGAAGACTTGAGGGGTGGTGACTAAGGGTTTCTTTTAGAGGAAATGAAAATATTCTAATTTTGATTGTGCTGATAAATGCAAAACACTGTAAATATACTAAAAGCCACAGAATTATACACTTTGAATAGGTGAATTGTATGATATGTGAATTATATTTCAATAGGCTGAGTTTTATAAATGCATATATGTATATAGTATACACATAATATGTTAATTATGTCACATTTACTACACATATCTATAATAATAATATATTACACATACATATGATATACTCTTTTACAGCTTATTCATTGGGTACTATGTTTTTAAAATTTATCAATGTGGATACATGTATAACTACTTAATTATCTTATTGGTAACTGTTCCATTATGTGGGGAGAAAATTACACTACATTTATCAATTTCTCTACTTTCTCTTCTATTCAAAGTAGTTCTACAATGAATATCCTTATACATGTCCCTTGTTTTATATGTGTGACAATTTTTAGGCTAACTAAAAGTAGAAAAGTTGAGTTACAGAATATGCACACTTTCAAATATATCAGATACTTCCATATTGCTCACTAAAAATATGACTGCAATTTATTCCAATCAGTTACATACAAGAGTTCCTGTCTCTTGCCAACACTTGGTGTTATCAAGCTTATTAGGTTTTGCCAATCAATAGGTGTAAAGTGAATTCTTATTAGGTTTTGCCAATCAATAGGTGTAAAGTGAAATTCTTTCATTTCCCTTGTTATTAGTGAGGATGAGAATCTTTCATAATTGGACAATCTTCTTCCTCTGTTTTTTTGTTTTGTTTTGTTTTGTTTTGTTTTTGCCTAGTCATAGCCTTTACCCATTTTCTATTGAATAGTTTGTCTTTCCTCATTGATTTGTATGACTTTTCCCAAAATCTAGTTACTTGTCTTTGATCACTTTAGAAGATTTGCTGTTATGTATTCCCAGTATATGGTCTGTCTTTTCATTTATTTTTAAGGTTTTTTGTTATGTTGAAAATTTTTATATGAATGTATTCTAAAATGTCAGTCTTTTTTTTTAAAGGCTTGTGATTTTTATGTCTTAAGGAATTATTTCCTATTACAATGTTATGAAAATATGTATTGCATATTCTCCTGTGAAAGTTTTAGTTTTGCTTTTCATACTTAGAGGGATAACTCATCTGGAATTTATTTTCCTGTATGGTGTGAGGTAGGTATTTAAATTTACATTTTTTCCATATAGATAGCCAACAACTCTAGGTCCATTTATTGTTCATCAAATCCATCCTTGCCCCATTAATCAATAACTGACACACTACTTTCAAATCTATATTACCTATTTTATAATCAAAAATGTTAATAGAGTCAGACAAAAAACAAGAATAATCTGGCGAAATGTTGAGAAAGAGGTCCCGGGTATCCATCTATAAATAGCTTAATAAATTACAAAGATCTCTAAGTATCCATCTAAAAATAACTTAATAATTACAAAGAAGGTTTTTCCCTTTAAAATGGAGAGTTGGAAGAAATACTTTAATCAAGAGATTTAATTCAGCATCACCAGTAATAGACCAAAGTAATATGTACTTCCTGAAGTGACATAACGGAAAGTGCACACCTATGTAGTGTTCCTACCAAAATTCACCAAACTGAATCTAATTCAGAGGAATGAATTAGACAAGTCCAGATGTGGGACATTCTTACAAGACAACTAGCATGGATTCTTCAAAAATATCAATTAAAACAAAATAAAGTGAAAGTACTATTCTAGATTAAAGGGAATTAATTAGGCAGGACAAACAAAATGTAAATTACAATCCTTGCATGAATCCTACATTATTCTTTTAAAAAAATAAGTTGTAAAAAACATTTTTAGATAACTGGAGAAATTTAATCTAATTCTATTATATATTAAATAATATTGTATCAATATTCAATTGTGTAATAATGGTACTGGGGCTATGTAAAATAATGTTCTTATTATAAGAATATATAGGCTACAATATTTTGGAGTAGTACTTTGATGTGTGCAACATCATATGTGATATAAATATACTCACATATACATACACATATATATTTCTACAGTTATATGTGAGAGAAACCAAAGTCACTGTAATTTCCATGATATCGCGAATAAAATGCCAGTGTAATGGTGTGGAAGGGGATTTCAAGTGAGGGATGTCTAAAGAAAGACCATCTACATCAACATTTTCTTAAGGGCAGTTTTACCATCTATGTAGGTGCCAACAAAACATAACCATTAAGTAAAGTGAATTACAATGTTCCCTGATAACTCCTTTGGATTTAAGCACTAAACAAAATGACAAGGAATTTGAAACAAACAAATTACCAGTTTCAGCATGAACTCCACTGGAGCCTGTAAATCAGTAGAAAGTTCAACAAGTTGTGCAAAAGGAAAATCACTGAACTCAACAAAAGGAATCATGAAATGGGCCTTCAGTAGATGGAGCTGTCCCATCTGAATTGGTGCTGAACCACAGAGCAGGAAAATCTGAAGGGCTAAAAATACAGTCTTTTAGACAAAGGTTCTGAATATTTGCACTGATTAAAATGCCAATCACCCTTCTTCTAAAAGCAGTGACATTGACTCTGGTATACTAGCCAAATTTCAACCCTGAATAATGTTATTATTATACATGAAGTGAGCACCAATGATGCCTTCAGCACCTCTGAGACAGAAGGTGCCCTTGCCAAGTACTTTGCTATCAATCGGGTATTTTGGGAAAGATATCTAGATATAAACCACTTTGGATTTAGTTTTCATGAATATTAAACACTTGAGTTTATGTCCCCTTCAATTTTAATGATTTAAGAGTTCATTTATGAAAAAAAAAAAATGTTCTTTATGATTGCTACATTTTCCCTCATGCTTGCTGCTACCATATAAATCGGGCTTAAGATAACACTCTGTTTTAATAAACCAAGAGAATATTTGATTCTACATGTAGGCTTGGGGTTACCATACAATTATGAAGTTGTAGGATTGGGCTATCCTTATAAGATGCTAAAGAACTTTATACCTGAATGCAGAAAAATTAGACATCACCCTAAATGAAGACAAAAATATCATAATATCTAAATACCCCACTAAAGCATGCTATTTATCAGCT